CCTCCTCCCTCCTCCTCTTTTCCCCACCACAAGAGCCCTGTGAGGTAGGTTGGGCTGAGAGAGAGCAACTGGCCCAAAGACACCCGGCTGGCTTTCATGCCTAAGGCAGGACTAGAACTTACTGTCTCCTGTTTTCTAGCCTGGGGCCTTCACCGCTAGACCAACCTGGCTCTCGTTGGCCTCACCACAAGTGATTCTGGCATTGGAGGAACCTTGGTTTCCTAAACTGGTCCCATTGCCCCAATTAAGACTCACTGGGATGCCCCAAAACTCTAAGATCAAGTGACAGCATGCCTGGGTAGAAGCAAGCCTAATGCTGGTTGTCTGTTAGCTGTCCTTAAGACCTACACACAAGGAAGAACCATTCTGTGGATTGTGGCCCTCATGAGAAGCCAGGAGGGGATGCAATAGCAATCTTGGGACAGAATTGCTGACTTGGAGCCCAGCCCTCGACGAAGCAGCTGCTTTCTCAGGTGGCTTAATGTTGGACAGTTCCTTCTGCTCCACCACCTTTGATCAACGGTCTACTCTGAGTGGGGCAAGTTGTCATACTTGTGGAACAGGACAGAGTGCAGATTCATCCCGGTCCAAAGTTTCAACCACAAGCAACCTTGGAAGACCACAGATGTGTACAGACGCAACCCTCCAAGAAAACCTTCAGGAAAAAAATGGCATAAGTGAGAGATGGTCTCACCCCTTATCAAGACTGCATGTGGTCAGTGAAGATGGAGCTCTAGCAGTTCTGTTTCAGAGAGAAGGAACGGAATGGAGTATTCTGGAAGACGGCATGCCTCACTCGCTGCCTGAACAGTGAACTTGATATTTCACTGCAGACCCCCTTGTTTTCTTGGTTAAAAACTGAAATGCCTGCTGGATGGTCTCCATCTGACCCATCGCTTTAGTTCCCAGAAGCTTCAGCTCCATGCACTCTTGGAAACACACAACGAGAGTTGTGAAGTTGATAGCCATCCTGGCCATTGTTTTATTCAGCAGCATGCCATCATGACCTCAGAGCTGAAGTGCGCAACTTCTTTTTCCAGATCCAAGGGCGGTACTTGGTTTTTGAATGGTGGCCAAGATTCAGACTTCAAAAAGGAGTGGGTGAGGCCAGGTCCAAAAATTAAACATAATTGGGTAAGAGCCTGGGAAGTTCTCCGAGGACCATGTTTTGGGACCTCAGCTGGTGCCCAAGATTGTGTATCTCAAGAGAGTAAGTTTAGGTGCAGTGGACAATTAATAGCTTTTGATGGACCTTGTTTCCTGCAAACATACCTAATTATTCTTTGGAGCCATCTAAAGAATGAAATCACACCTTGGTTGACTTCAGGCCACACCTCAGCCTGACTCATAAATGCTTTGATGCTTTGTATGATATGTTGCCAAACTCATTTTAACTTTGTAAAGTTCTATCTTGTTATATAAATACATAGATCTTCATATAGCATTATGTGCCAAACAGGCCCTGATGGTTTACCCCCAAATCATGAACATGACTGTGACGTCCCACTCCTTATTTAAAAAGAGCATGTTTACCTAGTTTTCTAATTATTTTTTTTTAAGGAAAAATAGTTGCCCCAAATTGGGACCATTTTAGGAGGTGATGAAACATCCTTGAACCTGCAAGATGGCTGCATTGGGTTTAGGTGGTTGTTACTCTCCCGCAACCTTTGTTTTCATTTATGCTTAATTGTTTTTAATGGTTGTTATAGGTTGTTAACTTGTTGGCTGTACGCCGCCCAGAGTCACGTTTAAGTGAGATGGACAGTTGTATAAAGTTGCTAAATAAAATAATTAATTAAATAAACGTTTTCCAAATCCCTTGCTCTTCTCTCAATTGATGGATGAACCTTTCAGCACAGGCGCTGTCTGGTTCAGCTGCCAGGATGGTCCCAATCTGGAGTTCTCTTGCTCACGTACCCGGGATAGGAAACAAGGAAGGGTCCATTTTGGACCGAGCTTTGCAAGGTGAGCTGTGGTCCCGTTTCTAAACTGAATCCAAGGGCTGAAAGAGCTGATGCTAAGATGTCCTTGGCTAAATAGGAAGGATAAAAACACTCCAAGTCAAACTTGACTCTTGTTTTGCATCCGTGCCATTGTTGTGGCAAGAGTGTGGAAGTGGTTTCCCGCTGCCTTCTTCCAGGGTGTTTTTTCAACTTCTTGGTGTAGCTACTAGCCCTTGTATTCCCTGGAGATCTCCCATCCAAGGACTAACTGGCCCTAGTAAGCTTCTGAGATCAGCCAAGGGTGGTTCAGTGCTGCCAAGCGCTGTGGCTGAAGACCATGGATTCTGCTCTACACTCAGAGTGGGCTCACACACTGGGCTAAATCTGGGTTTGTTTTAGTGTGATGAGTAGATCGTGCTTGGCTGGATTCATGTGACGTGCAAAACCTTGGTTTACAATCCACAATGGCAGGTTTGCACCACAAGCCACACCACAGCCAACCCAACTGCGTTGTGGTTCAAGGCGATGAATCAACCCAGCCCCAGATCCTGAAGAGTAAACCCATTGAAATCAGGGTGGCTTTCTTCACAGGCAACATGCACGGGATTCTCCTGCGCGCAGCCCTTTGGTGGGGCGTGAATTGAGTAATCCATTAATTGAAATGAAGTCCCGAGCTGGCCCGAGTCATTTTACGGTCTGTATTGTCACGTGCGTATTTCTCCACAACACCCAAATGGACCCTTCTGAAGCGTTCTTGAAAATTCGTAATTGCAAAAGTGCAGTTCTGAGATTTGAAAAAAAAATTCCATCACCCTCTCTATTTTACGTTCCTAGGTTTCCTCCTATCCCTTTACGGTTGCAGTGATCACTTCTTTAGCAAATGCAATACTTTTCATTCTGCTGTTTTGTTTACTATCAGAGACCCCTTTTTAAAAAAAAAAAAAAAAAATACCAGACAAGTAGAACACCAAACACATAGAATTGAATAATTCTATTCTAATTGTAATTCTATTCCAATTCTAATTGTACATGCATAAACCCCAAGAATTAAGTAATAAGACGATGCAGTAAAGCAGTCACTAGCATTCGAAAACTACAACCTCCCTTCGACGTTCCAATTTGTACTTTAAGTCAAATATTACAATCTGGGGGGGGCGGCACGTATTTCCCCCCTCTTCGTCAAAAAATAAATCTTTCTTAATACAAGAATGGTTGTTAAAACTGATGGACATGGCAGAAAATGATAAACTGACTTGCTTATTAAAAGAAAACTCAAATAATTATTACCTTAACGAATGGAAACCATTGATGGACTATTTGCAAAATGCAGGTGGGATGAAGCTTACATGGGGATTTGAAGATTAGATTATAAAGGTAATGGGATATGTTTTGACAAAGAATTATTCCTACTTCAGATTGGAAATTATCTATTTTTCATATCTTTTTTTCTTTTACTTCACTTTTTCTAAACTCAAATAATTATTACCTTAACGAATGGAAACCATTGATGGACTATTTGCAAAATGCAGGTGGGATGAAGCTTACATGGGGATTTGAAGATTAGATTATAAAGGTAATGGGATATGTTTTGACAAAGAATTATTCCTACTTAATGCATTAAAAACGAGCACTTAGGATAGCCTTATTATTTCTAAGACCAGAGACAGATTGGAAATTATCTATTTTTCATATCTTTTTTTCTTTTACTTCACTTTTTCTTTTCCTTTTCTTTCTATTTTGTGTTTCAAATTTTCTTTTTCATTTCTAACTTTTAAATATGTGTCCTTAAAACCTTCATAAAATATTATATAAAAAAATAAAATAAAATCAATCTTTCTTGTGGCCTTTACACGATCTTCGGAGGGGAATCTCTTTTACGTTGTGACTGCAGAGACATCGCACTGTGCCTCATGCTTGTTATTCTGCACGAAGCAGGGATGCCCCGAGAAAAGATTCATTTATTTTATTTTATTTTTTTTGCTTTTTAAATATGCTGAAAAGCAGAGAGGTTGACCGTGTTTCAGTGGGGAGAGCTATTTTGTTCCCCTTCAGCATTTCAGTTTTTTTTAAAACATGCGTGTGTTCCCAGAGGCCGCTGAGGGCAATGTTTTAAGTTTTGAAAATACAAGTTGGCAGAGGAACAGTGAACAGAGCGGAGGAGTTGGGAATTCCACCCAGCAGAGAGTAGAGCCTGGGGTATCCCCCCCCCATTAAATGGGGCACGGCTTTGCAGTTTTGAGCCGGACTAGAGAGCAGGAGCAACTGTTTTGAGGAGGGGGTCTTCAGCGAGAAGGGGACCCTGGGCGTTTGTGGGTGGATTAAAGCAGTTATTTGACGTTTTGCTGTTTTGGTTGACCCTTTGAGTTGAGCCCGCCAGATCAGAGTAAGGGTTCGGTTGGGGAAGAAAACCTGACTTGCACATGCTGCCAGCAAAATGCCCTGTTTATTCAGGAATAAATTCTATTCTTCTGCAGCGGAGGAGGAAATGTCAGAAGCGCGTCCGTGGCCAGTGGTGCCAGCTGCTGACCAGGGCAGGATTTTGTGTTGCTGCACCTCCAGGAAAACCGTGACAGGGCTTCAGATTTGACGTTTCCCCTGTCAAAACATGCCCGGATCTGTTTTTCCAAAAGGGAAAACTGCTCCAGGGGGAGGATGGTTAATGCTTTTGTAAGACTGCTGAAGACAGTGGAAGGCCTGTCTGAGATCGCTGTGGGCTGGCTTGAGATCGTCTGGAGCTTCAGGTGGAAAGTCCCGCTACTTTTCCCCCTTGCACAGCAGGTCTGTCCACGGTTAACGTATCCGTGGTTTGCTCCGTTAACTGCACTGAGCTGCAAATTGGCCACCTGCATTTCAGCCTAGTGTGTCTTGTGAATCTGGTGGGATGGAGGTGTCCCCAGGGGATATGGTGAGAAAAGTCAAGATGGCAGTGCCCGTAAAAGAAGAGGAAAGACTGATTGCACCGTTGCGGCCGCCATTTTGACCACTTCCTGTGGACACCCCTGCAGCAGGACCATACCCTCAAGGATGTTTTTGGATTTTTTTCTCTTGCTTTTTCAGAAACTCTCAGCTACCAGGATATTCCAGGTACCTCACATGGGATCCCTGCTCTGAGCAGACTGCCCATCCGACCTGCAACGTATTCTGGTGAGAAAGTTTTACGTACAGCTTTCTTTCTTTCCAATTTCCAACTAGCAGGAGTGCTGTGAGGATAGAATGAGGGAGATCCCCATGCACATCATCGTTTGCTCCCTGGGATAACACAAGATAGAAATGCAATGCGCCTAGAATAAAATATAGGTAGTCCTTGCTTAACGACCACAGTTGGGACCAGCAACACTGTTGCTAAGCAGTGCTTAAGGTTGTTAAGTGAAACATCGTGTGACCATGACAGACTTACGACATCACTTTTCCCCATAGTCGTTAAGCGAATCACCATGGTTGTTAAGTGAGACATCAAGTGACCATGACTTGCAATTTCACTGCTGGCTTCTCCATTGGTTCTACTTGTTGGAAGCTGGCTGTGAAGCATACAAATGGTGATCATGTGACCATGGGGTGCTGCAACAGTCATAAGCACGAGGACTGGTCGTAGAGTTACTTTTTCAGCACCATTAAATAGTTGCTAAACTGAGCAGTGGTTAAAGGAGGACTACCTGTAAATAGTTTCTTCCTTGTGTTTGACAGAAGCTGCTCTAGAGAGGTAATTTAACCTCTAATACTGATAATATCTTGTTTTCAAGGGGATTTAGCTATTGAAAGCTTAATCCTCTGTGAATCATTCAGGTCATCCTAGTTGCCAGAAATCCTTCTCACCATGGTTGTTAAGTGAGACATCAAGTGACCACGACTTGCAATTTCACTGCCGACCTCTCCATTGATTCTGCTTGTTGGAAGCTGGCTGTGAAGCTCACAAATGGTGATCACATGACCATGGGACGCTACGACGGTCATAAGTGTGAGGACCAGTCGTAAGGTTATTTTTTCAGCGCCATTAAATAGTTGCTAAACTGAGCAGTTGTTAAAGGAGAACTACCTATAAATAATTTCTTCCTTGTGTTTCACAGAAGCTGCTCTAGAGAGGTAATTTAACCTCTAATCCTGGTAATATCTTGCTTTCAAGGTGACTTAGCCATTGAAAGCTTAAATCCCTGTGAATCATTCAGGTCATCTTAGTTGCCAGAAATCCTTCTCAGGGAAGCTGATGCCATAGTTTGAGTATGCACTGAATTCAACTTCATTGGAATATTGCCATTTTTCTTTTCTAAAGTAAGAACAAAATACAACACCCCCTGTGGATTCCATAAAATAAGGGGTAAAGCCATCACAACTTCAGAATGAATGTGTGTCAGCTGCCTAAAGTGAAAGCGGTACTTTTCCTATCACAATTTATTCATTGATTGATTCTATGGGTATATATGTGTAAAATATAGATTTATTTATTGATTCTCACAGAGCTCTCTTTAGCAAACTCAATTGAGAAGAATGGGATGGCATTACAAGAACTCCAACAACTGAGCTTGCTCCTCTTTACAACCTCTGGATCCCCACATCTGTCGGGGCAGAAAGATTCTGATTCCCTTCCTCCCCTCTTTTCTGTGATCCAGCAAGGAGGCCGGTCTCTTTGCTGATAACAGCAAAACTTGCAGCCAGTGGCTTCAGTAACAGTCTCCTGAACCTTCCTCCATCTGGGAATGTTCACAGCAATGGTTGTTAAAAGGCATCAGCTCACCCCATTGGTGTGGTTGAATAGATATCAGGAAGACATTGCTTGCAGTGACCCACTTAATGTCCAGATGGAGTCATGTCGAGATTTGCCTGTTGCATCTTCGTTTGGATCCCTTCTCTGCTTTAGCTCCTTGAAATTATTTTTAAACAAGCTGGTTTTGAGGAATGGATTGCATACTATGCTGGCCCCCTGCTTGGCAGGTTTGGTGACAGTTAAAAACTAAGAGTCACCCCATCATCGCTTTTGTAGTGGACAGCCGAGGTGGGAGAAGGTAAATTGTCATGGCTGCGCTTTATCAGTGGATTAATCTAATTCAGTGTTTTCCAGCCTTGTCAACTTTTAAGATGGGTGGACTTCAACTCCCAGAATTCCCCAGCCAACAGGCTGGGGAATTCTGGGAGTTGAAGTGCACCCATTTTAAAGTTGGCAAGTTTGAGAAACACTGATCTAATTGGTTGCAGCTCGCTTCTCCTGGAAGCTGGTCAGCCTATGAGCTGGAATAAAAATGCATCTGGTGTTTCTCTTTTGCAAAATTTGGAGCCATTCTGTAGTCACAGACTATTGGAATGAGGATTGTGCAAGGAAAAATGGGACTTTCATGCACACCTTGGGCGTTTCACTGCTAAATAAATGGGAGAATTTCAGTGACATTCTCTTTTGCCTTTGAAAGCAGTTTCAAAAGTTTTCATCAGACAAACAAGCAGTGGAGGGGAAAAAGGCAGGAGAATTTTTCTCCATAGAAATAAAGATATAGGTAGTCCTCGACTTACAACCACAATTGGGACTGGAACTTCTGTCACTAAGCGATGTGGTGATTAAGTAAGTCGCGACCAATTTTACAGCCTTTTTTGCTGCAGTCGTTAAGCAAATCAAAGCTTCCCCCATGGACTTTGCTTGTCAGAAGCCCCCCGGGAAGGTCACCAATGGGATCACATGACCGTGGGATGCTGCAACCGTCATAAATCCATGCTGGTTGCCAAGTGCCCAAATTTTGATTAAGTAACTCTGGGGATGGTCGTAAGTGTGAGGACTGGTCATAAGTCACTTTTTTCAGTACTGTTGTAACTTCAAACAGTCGTTAAACAAATAGTGGTAAGTCAAGGACTACTTGTAAATAAGGTAAGGCCATCAGTTGCCTGATGGGGGTTGATTTGCTCTGCTTGTTTCTAGAGCTGGCCTGGTGTGATGTGCGAGTGCATGAGAGAGAAAGTGCTGCGTTTCTTAATCCCTTTCTTCCACCCTTCCTTGATCCCTTTCTTCCACCCTTCCTTGAAAAGTGCTGGAACTCCTTTTTCACCTGTTTTCTGGTTTGGCTCCACAGGTTGTTTCAACTGCAGCAAATTCTCTGAGCTTTTGGAAAGAGTCAACCTCCTGGAAGCCAAGGTTATAGTTGATTTTCATTGTTGGGGTGGACCACAAATCTGCGTCTTGCAGGTGGATTTCCACGTCACGCTCAGCCCAAGTGGGGCTTCTTTAGTTTGGCTTCCTGTGATCAGGAGTCCATGACCTCTTACTGTTTATTCAGTGAACAATTCTTAATTATTAAATTTATTAACAATTATTCAATCAGTTGATATCACCTCCAGCAGGAGGCAGCTGGCCCAGTGCTGCCTCCTCCTGGCCAACAGAAGTAAAAACACCACCCAGGATATGCACTGCATAAAAATAGAGAAATTCCCCTCCCTTCCATACTCTGAGGAGATGTGGAAGTTGAGTGAAGCCTTGTAAAACAAGAGCAAGAGTCGTGAGCGGCCCAGAGTTACTTTGGTGGGATGAGTGGCCATACAAATAGAATATTATTATTTATTTATTAAAATTTATTGGCTGCCCAGCTCCATCTGAACCCCTCCACCTGAGAGCTTAGGAATAGGAGGGGGGAATGTCAGCCTTACCAGGTAGACCAGACAGGAAACACGACCAGCTAAGCTAATTCTACTTTATTGTAAAGCTACATTAACAGAATCTGACCAATCTGAAATTCTCCCCCCATCTCCTTTACAGCCTAAGGGAAGGTCCCTTCTGAGCCTCTTTCTCCACCCATTCTGCAGCTGCGGGCTGTGCCGCCTCTTATCTGGCCGCTCCCTTGGCAGCCTCTCTCGGCCCAGTCTCCCAAGGTCTTTCCCAGATACCATTGCAGGGGTCTGTATCCTAAAGACAGACATTTTTTGTCTTGTGAACCAGTTTCCAGACTGGGGAGCAACAGGTACTTCAGCGTCAGAATTCAAGCCTGCAACATCTGTTAGGTCCCTGGGGCGTGTGGTGGTGGGGGGCTGTTTTGCACATTCCTTTCATTTTCACAAAACTCAGAAATTCACAGTTGTTCTTGCACTTAAGAAAGGGAGACTGTTGGCTTGAGCACGCTTTGGATGCTCTCTCCCAGCATTACGATTATTTTGCGCTCTCCCTACACGGGGGCCAGGCTTTGCCTCTTCCTTCCCTCTGTTAAAGCCTGAAGCCTGCCCTTGGGGGGAGACCCACAGCTGACTCTGTTCCCTTTTTCCCCCCAGGTGGCTACCTTTACAGCCGTCGAATCTGTGCCCTCGCCCATATCGCACCAACAGTTGCCCCCAACGGGCGATTCTGCCCCCAATCCCTTAAATCTGTGGAACTCTCTGGCCACCCAAGGGAAACCCGGAGAAGAACGTGTGAAAGGTAAGTGAGGGTGGAGGAACGCTGCCTGCACGGGGGGCCTGCACGGCAGCATGAAAAAAGTCGAGATGGCAGCCGTGACGGTGTGATCAAAGCTCTGCCTGTTTTTTCCTGCGCGTCTCACGTTGTGCAAATGCACCTCTGAGATTTACACCCGGCCTGATGAAATGGGTTGTGCGAACGCAGCCATGGACGAGATTCACCTATCGCAGCTAGCCTTTATGTGGTTTCCTTGCCCGTGGCTTAATGTGTCGCGCTAACCCTACCCTTGTTCGGCTGCAGTTCGTGAGCTTGAGCAAACCCATCCCTTTCTTCCCCAAACCGAGATTAAACAAATCGACGCTTAACACAATGGCGGGGAAGGTAGAAGAGAGCAAAGCAGAAACGGGGGGGGGG